AATCTCAAATTCTGAACGTAATTCCGCGCAACGTTTATCACCGATATAAGCGTCAACCGGTGCCACCCAAACAATTAAATCGGAATCAGTCAAGAACACAAATGACAAACATTCGTAATTATCGCCTTCAGCGCAATCAGTGAGAGTCAGTCACGTAAAATTCAGACATACACTCTCATCACAAGATCGATGCCATCACAATAACTATTTGAAAAATCTCTCTAATACCCAGTTTCAAAGCGGAAGATGAAAGGGTGATCCAAGTAAGAACAGCGAAAATTCAATCAGTACAAATTGTATAAAACATTCTGACAAACATCATGAAATGTGATGAGGTCGTGAAAGCCGGGAAAATCAATTTGGTTGAGCTTGAGAAAGGCGAGCATGCAGAAAGGGAGCGATGATTCAGCTGACCGCTGCAGACGCCTTAGGCTCATCCTCGTCCGAAGTTAGTCCCTCTAATTCCTCGTCAACATCGAACAGTTCTTCATTAATTGCAACAGCTGCGACTCCTGGATCAATCGAATTGAGTCCTTGCAACATTTACGCGGATGCAGCTTACCTTGAGCTAATCCATCTGCAACGTTGGGATTAGCTTCACTCGGAGCAGCAACTTCGTCCAAATCGTCATCCATTCCTTCAAACTTGAAGAAGTTGTTGTCGATTTCAAATACTTTCTCATCAGGCTGAATGGTTTAGTATCATTATATGTTGATTAGAATACGATCTGTGCACATACTGCAGAAAGAAAGTCGTGCACAAACATAACTCACGTCAGCTTCCTCATGTTCAAATTCAACATCCTCCGCATCTTCGTCGTCAACGCACGCATCTGCGTTGAATGTAAACAAATCCCTTCCGCTCATACCAAGCTTAAATGCAAAACTATAGAGAATTAATGTGTAAACATTCAAGCGAAAAAAAAACAAAATGAAAAACAATGCAACAAATGTGCGAGAAAAGAGTAAAAAATTCAAAACCACAATCATTCACTTAGTGTTCTTCCTTGATTTATGGTGAATTGGATACCACAAATAAAGGAAGGAACACCCAGTGAATGATTATTATGCTGATCGATACAAGAATTGAAAATGTAAGTAGAAGGTAAAGACCAGAAAAATAACAATCTGAGGATGCAAAGAGATAGTTCTGGAACCAAAACTAACCAAAGCAAGAAAGTTTTGAACTGACCGCTCTGCCGGCTTTGATTTTGTCTTTCTTCGCCTTCTCCTCTTCCTCTTCTTTTTGTTTCTTTTCTCGCAACTTTCGTTTCTTCCAAGCAACAAAGGATTGAAGAGTGACTTTGGTAAGATTTTTTCCTTGCAATGCCGCTCTCTGAAAGTGAAATCAATGGCTGTGTTGCAAGATCTATACAATTGTCATTCTTGTTGAGAGAAAGGTTGTGTACGATAGAGAAAATGACTGTGTTCAGTATGTGGATATATGACACACAAAAAACATTGAGGAAGAAAATCCTCATACTCAGTGAGAGGAAAACGAATTAATACCTCTTTCTCAATCAACTCTTCCAAGCTAATTTGATTCTCCTTATCTTGCTCCTCCATCTTCTTCCGATCCTTTTTCAAAACGTATCTGCAGACGCAATTTGCAGCAGCAACAACAAATATAGAGTAACAACAGCAAAAAATCATTATCTTACCCCTCAGGCAAACAATGCCGATAGATACATTTGTCGCCACCATTCGGACACTCCCAAAACCACCCATACTTGCTTTCCTCAACTGCTTGAAGGAAGTACTTACAAACCTAGAAGCGAACAAAAGCCTAGATTACTACGGAGAGTTATGTGAAGATAACCAGAGTTCTGCAAACTCACGATAGTTGTTTGATTCAATTTCTTATTCGCTTCTCCATGCTTTTTATTTACAACCTCGCTCAATTTTGTTTCGTCCCAATTCTCCATATTATCTAAAACAACGATAGTTAATTATTTAACTGGAGAATGGGGGAAAACAGAACGGCCCAATTGTAAAAGGGTTTCTTACCTTCTTCTTGTTTAAGTTCTCGGCTGTCTACGTAGAGATTCTTTTTCTGCGTCTTCTGTTCAACAGCCAAATCATGGCTGAACTTGCATTTGGCTCCCTTATGGCACATACCATTCTTGAAGAATGCGCAAACAACAGACTTCGGGTCGACATCTGCAGAACAAAGTTATCAACAATTGACAGAACTCAGCGAACTTTGAGAGATAAAAGAAATCATGCTAATGAAAATTTCGATATACCAAACTAATTCATTTGAGGAATTACAAGTGTGAACTGCCTGCTAACTAACGATGGTCAGATATAGAAAGCAATGGTAGGTCAAGAAGATAAGACAATGCAGGGCGCACTCCTAAAATTTTCCGATCATGAAATGTGGCTTCAGAAAGACCAATTTCTATACATTAGCCGATTCTGGCATCACATTTACAACGATTTTGGATGCTAGGATGAATGAGTGGAAGGGACAGCATGAGAAGAAACCAGTGTTTTTGAACTCTATCAACAGGAGATGATGGAAACTACTTGAATATTAAGCATCGTCTTCGCCCACGACTGTACAGAGACGCAATTCGTCTCTCTGTTCACCACGTACTCTCTATAATCATATTCCAAAGAACCGCTGTTCCAACGAGCAATGCATGCCAGTATCGAAAACACATGCTTAAAAGTAGACCCCTCGCAAAAGAAAAGGGAATCGACTTCCTAAATTCATATAACGGATAAAAGATAAATGCGACGGATCATACGTGTTAAGAGAAAAGAAAAGAGAAAAGCCCAAAAGCGCCAAAAAACCCAAAACAGCCCAAAAAGGCCCAGAAGCACCAAAAAGAGCCGAAATGCCCCTCTTCAAGCGCAAGTTTTGGCGCTCAGGCATGTGTTGATTTCGCATCCGAGTCTTGGTTCATTTTCTGTCGTCTGCACATCAAATTAATGTCAGAATTCTACCGAAAGTTCGTTTCTGCGTTCCCGCTCTTTTTGGCGCTTTCGGGCTTTTTCTGAGCGCTTTTGGGCTTTTCTCGGCAAAGTATGACGGGTCCGTAAAGCTGTTCCAGTACACGATAGTGCTCATTGTTTGGATGCAAGTATCATGAAACAAAAAATACAGGAAGGACGGGGCAAGTTCCTTTCCTATGCGAAGACGTGACCGTAGAAATTGGAATCTCTAAAAAATTTTATCTTTAGTTAATATTCTCCCCGGTAGTGACATATCGCTTAACTATGAGAAAATAAATATACATATATGTTTAAATGAGTATCTGATCTTTACCCAAGTTAGAGCAAAAAATGAACTGATGAAATGGAAACAGGCGTTTCGAAAAATGAACTAGGTTCAGATCGTGTTTCTCTGAAAGTAAGAAACAAGAGATGAAATATTTAATGCGTGCACTATTTCACCTGAAGGGACACCCCAATCAATCACGACCAAGAATATTTCTTGAGATGTAACACATAAAAAGACATGTGGAGGAAAAAAAAGACCACATCTGAGTAACGCAGTAAAGCATGAAATCACACAAAGACACGTAAGAGTAACTGCTTCCAACGGTAAAATAAATGGAAAGAAAAGCTTATGATGAGAACTGAAATAATCACTAACCTCGCCGTACCTTCTGCTCCACAGGATGCAAAATCTTGTTCAAATCGCGAAGTTCCTCTAACTCCTTTTTCTTCTTTGCTTCAGCTGCTTTAGCTTGTTCGGCTCGAGAATTTGCATTACGTATCTTGAATAAACGAATTAAGCCATTAACGAAAAATCTCAACTATTGAGTCATATCTCCGCACCTGATTCTGAATTTGCTGTACATATTTTTGTGTTTGCGCTCCTTTCTTGTTCTTTATACCAAAAGTTTTGTCCTCTATGACCTTTTCCTTCCGCTTTTGCTCAGCTTTCTTGCTTGGTTGCTGTTTTGGTGGCATTCACGGTAGCGGCAAGAAATAAGACTCTAGAAGAAGGATTTCAGCGTACATTCGATTGGAACAAAGATGGCACACTGGATTAGAACCGTCCACCCAAATATGTTGGTGGGACTTTAATGTGACACATCAGCGAGGATCATCCTAGGATATACTTCACAAAAAAAATCACTGTAGAGAATGGACCAGCAGAGATCGCCCCGCCCATCATCTTAGGTTGTCTGGAGGTAACGGGTCCGAATCGGGCTCCAAGATAGACTAACTATATACCAGAGATATCGAAAACGTCGTTCACGATGAAAAGAAGATCTTCGGTCTCTAAGGCCCTGGCCAGACTTCGCTCAAAAGCGCCCAAAAGCGAGCAAAAGCGCCCAAACTTCCCTACTCTCCTCACTCCCTCTCATCTCTCCTCACACGAGAAAGTGAAGAGACACCAGAGAAATTTGGGCGCTTTTGAGCGCTTTTGGGCGCTTTTGAGCGAAGTCTGGCCAGGGCCTAAGTACTTGGAGTTTAGTTTTTCATCCTCACATCATTCACATTGATTGGGCTGGGCAACTATAATTCGAAGCTGCTTTCTTGTTTCAAAATTTCGACCGTTTGCAGTGGTTGAAATTTTGAAACAAGAAAGGAGCCTAGCTACCGCATCGCACCAAAACTAGCCAATCTCAGATGTGGTAGACGATGCTTATGGGTGATGACAAAGAATAGGGTAAACAACGCAAGAATCTCGGCGTTGCCACATAACACGCGCTGCTCAAGGATAACAGTACTAGAAATTTATAGAGTAAGAATACAAATTCTTGTTGCAAGAAGAGCAACTCAACGTAAACATTCACAAATAAATAAAGAAAACAGTATAAACACGCAAAGAGAGAACTGGAAAAACCAAAAACGTCGAAACTGAAGCCATGATGATGATGTAGCCATGATTTAACATGATACAGAGCATTTGATCCTAACAATAAGTGGAAAATATTTGAAGAGGTCGAATCGACGCCATATTTTTATGACACTCAAAATGCACATATGACAGCAACTTGATGTGCTTAGGTAGTATGCAATTCGCCATAACTACAGAATATGGTTATAGAAAACTTTGAAGAACACTGCCAACCAAGAGCGAAAACTGCGCCAGTGACGGCAAGTGCACCATTCAGCGCTGGCTGGCCCCTATTTCGTGCAGCTGTTCTTGAACCGCAGCTTCGATCGAGTTTCATTGGCATCTGGGTAGGTTCATCAATCTCCGTTTTTTGGTGATTAATAGTTGAACGGGTAACCACTCAGTTACTTAATTGCTCCATTTAGATGTTTTCCGGTGTGCGGAACCCGTACTTGGACGAACAAACGCCGGATGGAGGGAATCAGTACAGTAGCACGCAGAATATCACTGTAAGCTTATTGCTTTTATTTTTAAAATATATGCTTCGCTTAACATCTATTGCTTATACCTTTCTGACACTATTGCACTTTTAAATACACAGTTAAAAATTGCAAAATCTTAAAAATCTTAACTCTGACCAAATACAGTCAGACAATCCAAGATTGTCTGACTTGATAATCACACAAAAATAATACTGACTTCGCATGCGGATTTTCCCTTGAGGTGCCGTCTGTGTACGAAGCTTAAGAAGTCAGTACGCGCGCAACTTTAGAGGAACTTTGTTTGGAGCTTAAAACATGTGTTGCAAAGGCATGCACAATATCCGTGAGCTGCGAATCTTTAGCCCCTGCTGCCTTGAGCTGCAGTCGGTGCTTCGTGAGTGGATCTTGATAGCAAATTAGGGTTTAGTGCTTTTTCTTTTAGTTTTTTCAAGAAAGGGAAGGCTGAGCAGCCCATGCAAGAAAGACCTTATATTTACCGCAAATTTTTTTCTGGTTTTCAACTTTTTGCTGTTAAGACTGTTATGTTATAGTGCTGAATGATTCAAGAATATGCGGAAGTGGTGTCTAGGCAACACACCAAGTTTGACTGTCGGTAATGAGTGTCGCTGACCACGGATTAAAGACAGGATATCACTAAGACGATGTCATATCTCGTTGGCTGAGCGTTCTTTCACACTTCTTGCCGTCTGCTGTCACTCCCATACACGAACTATCCTATTCGGACGCAATTACGTCCATTCTGTGCATGCGATGAATCGCCGATATGGTAATGGATCCACCTTAATCCCACACAATGACTCTACTCTGACAGTGGATACGATCATTAAGCGTGTCAAATAATTTCCCCTTGTGAAGTAATAACGGCTTCTGAGCCTTTGACCACTTTCTCTATTCATCACATAATTCCGCAAAAAAGGTCCCACCTTGTGAGAATTACGAGTGCAGAGCATTTTTGCATTTTTTTTCGTAATTTGGACGCTGAATAATTTACGTCTTGCTGTAATTCCGTTAAGTGAATGGGATAGTCGTTTGAGACGGTGATCTAAATCGGAGGGATGCAAAAGTATTTTTTTTTACTAAAAAACTCATTTCAGGCTCCCGAATCTCCATCGACAACTCTCAGTTGGGAAACACGAGTTCAGTGTTTCGTAGGATGCTTGCTCTTATCCATCATCAGCTCCTTTTGTGTGAGTACTGCGTGTAGTTAAGTTTACATCTATCTTTAGTCTCCCGGGATTCAGGTAGATCCATGATAGTTGAGATAATTCTTGTGTTTGGAGAACACTACTCGCATATTTTTGTTTTTATCGAAATGCACAATAATTTTCTTCATAAAACTTTACTAAAAAGCCTTCGAAATTCGCAATGTGGTATCTAGTGAGGTAGAATGTTCTTTCTTCTTTTCTTCCAAATATTTCCAGTTTCTGATAATTTTTAAGTGAAAGTGGTCTTCATTTAAAGGCAGCGTCCAGGCAGAATCTCGACTTCTATTTTTTTTTGCCTTATCTAGGCCTTCTCATGGCGCTGATTTCAAATATGGCACTTAAAATGCGGGAATTTCTCAAATGCCCTGTTTTTGAGACAATTTTGTGAAAACCGTGGACGAGGACTCCTAATGCTATGATCGGCTCCCAGATTCGTGTGGAGGTGTATTGCAGACTTTGCCTGATAACCAGGATCAAGCAAGGGGTGTGGCACACGATCGCTTTTTACGACCCCTCCCCCCCTGATTGCTGTCTTAATAAGACCCCCCCCCCTGAACTATATACCTAAGATAGCATTACCAGAGTTGAGAAAGAGGTCAGGCATAAGTCTTTCGAAACCCCTCCCCCTCCCATGAAAGCCCTCAAACGACCCCTTCTTCCTCCTTTTAACCTCTAGACCTCAAAAGTGACATTCTGGAGTACACCATCTTTTTCTAAAGAGTTTTCAGATTTCTGAGAGCTGTACGCCCGATTTTCTGTGACTGCACTTTACAATCACACGTAATTTGACGGCTGATTTTGATCAGAATGAACATATTGAAAGGGCCATAATTTTTTTATGGGTGGGGCGTTCGGCTCCAAATTTCCAATGTAGCAAGAAGAAGCTATGTGCTCAATACTCATACTAGCAATGGAGCGCTTTCTGGATTTTGAAGGCAAGTTAAGGGGGTGCGGCACACCCCCTCAAAAGCTGCGGCAGCCGCAGCTTTTAAGGGGGTGTGCCGCACCCCATTAACTATATCAAAAAACATTTTTAGCGGACAGTATTTATATGAATCGATAGCCTAAACCTTGTAGATTCCATAGGACTGTTCGGAGCCTGGTTTGTCTTCTAAGCTCTAAGTAATATTTGGTGAAAGCACAGCGATCAAAAGCGAAAAATGGGAAAAACGAGATTTTGCTTGGCTTCTGATTCCACAGTTTGCAGGTCTTCTGAAGCGGGATTCCTGAGGTGGACAAAGAAGGAGTAGTGCTTTGTTTTGAGTGCGAAAACAAGTTAACCATGTTGGAAATTTGACCATTTCATTTAGGTAGCCTAGCATCTTGAATCTTCAGAATTCGCTCACACTTTGTCTACAGGGGTTAATTGACATGCTAATTTTGGATATGATAGAATATCATGTTATCACTATTATCAGATTACCCAACTACGACTCCCTCCCCTTTTGACTCCTCAATACGACCCCCCAGGTGTGGCGTGCCGCACCCCACGTTGTCCCTGCTGATAACACATGTAAACTTGCTAAACCTCCACGTCATAGCATTGCTTTTCGTAATCTCTCGCTAGCAAAAACCGCCACGCGGTGAGTTGGCAAGACTCCATCTCCACACGAATCTGGGAGCCGATGATACCTTTGTCGTAAGCAAGCATTGACATGTAGACACTATGTGTTCGATTGTGTTTGCCACGTGAAAACACCTTAAAGACTGAGAAGAGTTCGTTTAAGGACAGTGTCTCACCAAACTTGAGGTCGCGCGGATCTTCACATATTCTATTATAAGGACCTCTAAATAGGCCATTGCAACAAGTCCCACTCAATTTGACCCCCTCCACGCTGAGAAAAATTCGCTCAAAGTTGTACGCGGAGAGCGGGTTGGTACGCGCGGACGACTCCTTCGGCAGGGTAAAGCGGGGGGTGCGGCACGCGACCGCCGGATACGACCCCCCCCCCCTTGGGCCGGACCTCGGCACGACCCCCCCCCCCCATTCCCTACCCCCCCCCCCCCCTCCTCCCTCCCGAACTCCCAAGCTAGCTCTTGAGCTTCGGATTATGTGCAGACCAGTGCGTCACCTCTGCTTCGCAGAGGCTCGCACTGGCCCCACTGTCTGTACGCCTTACTATTTCCCGCACATTAATGACATTGAAACTCACCGCGCTATGCGGACTATCACGAATAATTTGTAAACAACTATTCATTTCAAAAGCTTTTCCATATTAGATCGGTAACTTCGCGTGAATGAAGCTTTTTCAAAAAAACAAATGCAACAATTGACTGAATACAAAAGGAAAAATGATGGAAAAGGGCGAAAAAATGTAGCGTCTATAACATCGAAAAAATACTTGCTGCTTGAAATAGAGATCTTTATCTGGAAGTTTGGCATCGTAGCACAGCATCTCTCTGCGGTCCTTGATTTATAGGAATGACAGCGGTTTCTAGACATATAGCCCCTTCCAAAAAGTTATTTCAGTCTAAATAATCAACTAACCGGTGGCGCTTCGGCTAATTCACTCTCTACATCCTCCTCCCAGGAATCGATGTCACTTTCTCCACTCGCTATTACGTATCGCATTTCGTTCTTGGCACAGGTCCACCATTCTACTGGCCTTGGGGCGAAGAAAGCCTATAATCAGTCAGAATGGTAAAGCTTAGGACCCGCTCTGAGCATTTCAGCAACCGCCTTCCAAGTAGAAAAAATAACAAAGAAGGATGGAGAAGGATAGAAGTAGCGCTTACTGCTGAGCCGCCATAATCGAGGGGTAACTCCTCAGTGTCGATTGTCTGGACGCTGCTCTCGTCTTCAGTAAACGGCGGCCCGTCGCGCTTCGAAACTAAGAAAAAAACTAAGAGGATCTTATATGTAGGGGAAAACCACAAACACCTTCTGTAATGAGTGACCCTATCTTATTCAAATCTATAGTACTAAAAATCTCAGATTCTTCCGAAATGTTTTGACTTTGATAGAAACTGGCTTTAATTTCATAGCAACTCGGCAATGCATACTCACCTGTGCTATAGATCGGCAAGAAAGGCGAAACTATATTTACGTACGGTGCTGTTGGATAACTGGCTCCCTGAAACGATTCGAAGTCTATGCTTCGTAGATGAGACTCTATGTGAGAAAAAACCTACAGTGTAGACCCCATTGCAACGATTGTAGATCAATCGGCCAGAGCCGCTTTCTGTGTCTACTACATAACATTGCTCACCGCGCTTGTGTTCCGTCTGCAAAAAATCTCTCATAAGCTCAAATCGAATGAGAAAAAACAGTAAATCCAAAAAAAATTAGAGATAACTCCTAATTACCTTGAAACACACAGCGTTCTGCACTACAGGTGAGCAGCAAACTGTTGGAAAACGCGACGAGATAACCAGCTTTGATGACTGTAAATCGGTACTCAAATAAAATCACAAAGCATTAGAACAAATGAAATAAGAAAAAATGTAAAATGAGAAGAAGGAAAAGGGCGGCAGAAAAGAGAGTCAAACAACTTACCTTGCCGCTGCAAGCGACTTTCAGCAAATCCTCGGCGACGACCATATTGAACGGGTCTCTGTCTAGAAATAACTTGAGAAACTTTAGCGCCTCATCGACATCACTCGACAAGAGAGCAAGACGGGCACGAAGCCAGTAGACGAGCGGCTATAATAGCATCGCGACAATTAAGAGAGAAAACTACCAAGTTGCCGATGGACCTAATAAAATGTGGGCCTACCCCCTGAGGATCTGCATTGCTCGCCAAATGCAATAGTTTTGAAGGATCTCCTCTTTGACCGGTAACTTTGAGGACAACCTGTGCCAGCTGGACGAAAGCGATGTCAGTATATGCATTCTGAGATACGATCAAAGTTAGTTTTTACAAAAGCAAAAATCTCGCTACTCACGGGTTCCAGAAGTGCCTCAATCAGGCAAAATGCTGCCTGCTTTGGGTTTCCTTTCACACGCCAATATAGCGCAGCCAAATTCGTTGATAGCCATCTTGGGCCAACATTCTGAACAATATAAACATGTAAAATGATCCCAACAAAAAGAAAATACTGATAATGTTGATACTTTCAATCTTGCTATGCCGTACAGGTTTGTTAGGATGGTATATTTATTCAAACCGGCCTAACGTTTCGGCGCCTTCGCCGTCCTCAGAGGCCTAAAAAGAACCCAAAGCATCACCTCCAACATCAGACCATCAGATGTCTCCTCTAGCTTGGCTAGTTTCGACTTTGTTTCAAATTCAGTCCGCAAAAACTCTTCAGACAGAAATGAACCCACCGTTATACCACCGCTATATGATGTGTCCGCACCGGAAGGAATTGACAGAGCGACCGGAAATGAGTGACAGAAGCGGACAAGTGAGGGATACTGTAGAGAGCAGACAGAGGATATGCTATCTACTATCTACAGCTCACATAGTGCTACGAACGGCAGAAAGTCGGCTGTAATAGACAAGCACTCGTTTTTATTATTCATTTCTGGATTCTTCGAGGATATCCAGAAAGATTCTAGTGCCTTTCTAGCCGAGATCTCTTTCTCATAGCTTAAGATTTTGCACTTGACTCTAAAATCTGCTCCATTATGTGCTTCGCCTTTATGTCTTCCCAAGGGTGTTGCTAAGCTCTTGCGTCTCATGCTTGCCAGATGTTCCTTTAGACGTACACTTAGTACCCTGCCAGTTTCGCCAATATACAACGCGCCGCAGTCCATGCATTCGAGTTGATATACAACACCCACTTTTGTACACTCCCCTTCTTTGCCATACGGACACACTATGCATTGTTCAGTTGCGCATTTCCTATCGTAGAGTCGATTTCGTACGAGCTGCTTTTTAATGTTATCGTTTGGTATGTTAACCAAAATGACTTCATTGAGCAGCTGTGCGCGAGCAATGCATTGATGAAAGGCCGCTGTGATCTTATCAGAGATGAACGGGAGGCATAATGGAATTTTGTTGTCGTTTCGAGTGCGGCTAGTCTGCGCAAGACGTCTAGTTCGTGGTAATGCGCAATAACCATTACTGCGTGCGATCTCTGAGGCTAAGTGTCGTGCTTGTCGGCGTTCATCCTCTCCCGAGCACACCATGGCGGCTGTTTTGAACATATGTTTGATTACAGCATGTTTAACGCTACTAGGGTGCGCAGACTTAGCATTGATGAGGATGTTTTTGCAGCTATCCTTGCGGTACCATTTCATTGTTACAATGCCATTGGTCAACTTGATAAGAGTGTTCAAATAAGGCAACCATCCTTCTCGTGGTTTTTCGCGTGTGAGCCTGATGTACTCGGACTGTTTGTTGAGAATTTCAAAACATTTGTCCATCTCGGACTGTGTCGCTGTGATCAGACAACAGTCGTCGATGTATCGACAGTACATCATAGGCATTCGGCTCAACACTGGTTCTTCAATTTTGCTCATGAAGCAAATGGCGAGAATAGGTGCCAATCTCTGACCCATAGCAAGCCCTCGGATCTGGGAGTAATACTCTCCGGACCATCGAAAGATATTACAGTTCAAACAGGCGCTTACTAGGGTCATTACTCTCGCTTTGCTTAGCCCAAACATATTGATGGTTCCGGCATGTTTGTCTAGCATTTCCGATAATGCTTGTAACGCTTGGTGGTTTTGAACATTTGTGTAAAGTGCGGTAACGTCAAATGATTCAACCACGCAGTTGGAATCAAGCTTTGCATTACGGATTTGCTCAACAAACTCCATCGTGTTGGATAAATGGGCTGGCACCTTAACCAGTAGTTGGCTGAGAATTTTGTTCAAAAACCATGATATACGATCGGAAGGGCCGCCTATAGAACTAATAATTGGTCTGATCTTATAAGTTTCCGCCGACATCGAATGCATACTCTCCAAGGATAGCTTATGTGTTTTTTTATGAGACTATAAAAGACTGGACAACATGGATTCTCTAATTTCAATCTACTGATAAATCTGTCATCAAAACCAGCCGATTTGCATATTGCAGTCCATGTGTCATTCAGCCTTCTGCATTGAGTATGATAATCTTTTTCAGAAACAGCCTTGTAGAGCGAAGTGTCCGCTAAATGTGCTCTCGTAATATCGCGATCTAGACTTTGGGGGATTACTACAAATTCGCCGCCTTTATCGCTTACGGACAAGCGCACAGAGCCTTTTGATATGAGTTCACGTATCTCTTTAAAACCACGTTGCTGTTGTTGAGTGAGATTTTTCTGGTGTTGTCGTTTGAATTTGTTCAAAACTTCCAAAACCCCAGAAGATAAGATACGGAATTTTATATCAACTTCTCTTACGGGCTCGGGTTGTTTGTAAAACGATCGCGGAAATGGAATTGCGGGTAGTAGTCTCCTAGTTTCGAGTGCACTTGATTGCAGACTATTTGCATTTCTCGCTTTGATTCTGAGCGAGTCTCTAAGCTTATGCAACCCTCCAACTATCTTTCGACAAGTTCTAGCATTGATCGACTGCGCAGGAGCAAATGAGGGACCAAGGCTCAAAAGGTCAATAGCATTAGGCGAAAGTTGAGCGTTGCCTATGATGGTGACTCTGGCCGTCGTAGCATCATTAGATGAAACTGATTTGGAGCAGTGGTCTGGTTGGTTATTCATGTCATGGAGATAATTTCTACGAGCATCATTCAAAAGGCGGTCGTACTTGGCTCGAAGTTTCGATTTGACATCAGACCGAATCATATCGCAGATTATCTTCGAGCCATCTTTAATCCTCTCCCATGTCCGACTAGGCAACAACCGTTCGCAGGCCTCCTCTTTTACAAAACATTTTAACAAGGTAGAGTACAATGACCGTTGCTTTTCTTTGATAGCAACATTAAGAATGGAATGATAGATATTCAAAATCTTCGGATCATTCTCGCAAAGGCCACACGTACTTCCTATCTTCTTATTTCTTATGAAGGCAGGTAGAATATCGGTTCGCTTGCATCTTCGAAGAAAAACCAGCGACTGCCGCATGGCTACTGCGTTTTGTCGGAGAGATAACGCTTCTTTGGCCAAACGGAATAGTTGTGGCGGTACGTCTTTTATCAATTTCCAAGTTCCGTTTTGTTTAAACCTTGGCATTGTTGATACTTTCAATCTTGCTATGCCGTACAGGTTTGTTAGGATGGTATATTTATTCAAACCGGCCTAACGTTTCGGCGCCTTCGCCGTCCTCAGAGGCCTAAAAAGAACCCAAAGCATCACCTCCAACATCAGACCATCAGATGTCTCCTCTAGCTTGGCTAGTTTCGACTTTGTTTCAAATTCAGTCCGCAAAAACTCTTCAGACAGAAATGAACCCACCGTTATACCACCGCTATATGATGTGTCCGCACCGGAAGGAATTGACAGAGCGACCGGAAATGAGTGACAGAAGCGGACAAGTGAGGGATACTGTAGAGAGCAGACAGAGGATATGCTATCTACTATCTACAGCTCACATAGTGCTACGAACGGCAGAAAGTCGGCTGTAATAGACAAGCACTCGTTTTTATTATTCATTTCTGGATTCTTCGAGGATATCCAGAAAGATTCTAGTGCCTTTCTAGCCGAGATCTCTTTCTCATAGCTTAAGATTTTGCACTTGACTCTAAAATCTGCTCCATTATGTGCTTCGCCTTTATGTCTTCCCAAGGGTGTTGCTAAGCTCTTGCGTCTCATGCTTGCCAGATGTTCCTTTAGACGTACACTTAGTACCCTGCCAGTTTCGCCAATATACAACGCGCCGCAGTCCATGCATTCGAGTTGATATACAACACCCACTTTTGTACACTCCCCTTCTTTGCCATACGGACACACTATGCATTGTTCAGTTGCGCATTTCCTATCGTAGAGTCGATTTCGTACGAGCTGCTTTTTAATGTTATCGTTTGGTATGTTAACCAAAATGACTTCATTGAGCAGCTGTGCGCGAGCAATGCATTGATGAAAGGCCGCTGTGATCTTATCAGAGATGAACGGGAGGCATAATGGAATTTTGTTGTCGTTTCGAGTGCGGCTAGTCTGCGCAAGACGTCTAGTTCGTGGTAATGCGCAATAACCATTACTGCGTGCGATCTCTGAGGCTAAGTGTCGTGCTTGTCGGCGTTCATCCTCTCCCGAGCACACCATGGCGGCTGTTTTGAACATATGTTTGATTACAGCATGTTTAACGCTACTAGGGTGCGCAGACTTAGCATTGATGAGGATGTTTTTGCAGCTATCCTTGCGGTACCATTTCATTGTTACAATGCCATTGGTCAACTTGATAAGAGTGTTCAAATAAGGCAACCATCCTTCTCGTGGTTTTTCGCGTGTGAGCCTGATGTACTCGGACTGTTTGTTGAGAATTTCAAAACATTTGTCCATCTCGGACTGTGTCGCTGTGATCAGACAACAGTCGTCGATGTATCGACAGTACATCATAGGCATTCGGCTCAACACTGGTTCTTCAATTTTGCTCATGAAGCAAATGGCGAGAATAGGTGCCAATCTCTGACCCATAGCAAGCCCTCGGATCTGGGAGTAATACTCTCCGGACCATCGAAAGATATTACAGTTCAAACAGGCGCTTACTAGGGTCATTACTCTCGCTTTGCTTAGCCCAAACATATTGATGGTTCCGGCATGTTTGTCTAGCATTTCCGATAATGCTTGTAACGCTTGGTGGTTTTGAACATTTGTGTAAAGTGCGGTAACGTCAAATGATTCAACCACGCAGTTGGAATCAAGCTTTGCATTACGGATTTGCTCAACAAACTCCATCGTGTTGGATAAATGGGCTGGCACCTTAACCAGTAGTTGGCTGAGAATTTTGTTCAAAAACCATGATATACGATCGGAAGGGCCGCCTATAGAACTAATAATTGGTCTGATCTTATAAGTTTCCGCCGACATCGAATGCATACTCTCCAAGGATAGCTTATGTGTTTTTTTATGAGACTATAAAAGACTGGACAACATGGATTCTCTAATTTCAATCTACTGATAAATCTATCATCAAAACCAGCCGATTTGCATATTGCAGTCCATGTGTCATTCAGCCTTCTGCATTGAGTATGATAATCTTTTTCAGAAACAGCCTTGTAGAGCGAAGTGTCCGCTAAATGTGCTCTCGTAATATCGCGATCTAGACTTTGGGGGATTACTACAAATTCGCCGCCTTTATCGCTTACGGACAAGCGCACAGAGCCTTTTGATATGAGTTCACGTATCTCT